GGTGTGCTGGTTCTTGGGCAGAAGACTAATTCAGCCAGAATCTGGGGTCTTCCTAGATGAGCAGGATGGATAAAGACTTGGGCAGACTTTTCAATGTGACAGCCGTCTTTACAGCATGTGAGGGCGCTGTGAGGGCACCGTGGGTTAGGGGCTTGGAGTAGAAGTTAATGCACACCTGAACCAGAGCATCAGGTAGAGCTCAGAATGGGAGGCAGGAGGGTAGGAGGATGTCCTAGTTAGGGTTACTATTGCTGTGATGAAATGCCATGACCAAAAGCAAGTTGGGAAGGAAAGTGGGTTGGTTTTTTCTGTTTGTTTGTTTTTATTTTTTGTTTGTTTGTTTTGAGACAGGGTTTCACTGTTTAGCTCTCGCTGTCCTTGAACTCAATTTGTAGACCAGGCTGGACTCAAACTCAGAGATCCACCTGCCTACCGAGTGCTGGGATTAAAGATGTACACCACCACTGCCCCAGCAAGAAGGAAAGGGTTTGTTTGGCTTACATTTCCACATCATAGTCCATTGTTGAAGGAAGTCCGGATCTCTTTCCTTCCTTCCTTCCTTCCTTCCTTCCTTCCTTCCTTCCTTCCTTCCTTCCTTCCTCCCTCCCTCTCCCTCCCTCTTCCTCCCCTTCCTTCCCCCTCTTTCTTTCTTTCTTTCTTTCTTTCTTTCTTTCTTTCTTTCTTTCTTGCTTTCTTTCTTTCTCTCTCTCTCTCTCTCTCTCTCTCTCTTTCTTTCTTTCTTTCTTTCTTTCTTTCTTTCTTTCTTTCTTTCTTTCTTTCTTTCTTTCCCCTCTCCCCGGACAAGGTTTCTCTGTGTAACAATCCTAGCTGTCCAAGAACTTGATTTATTCAAGGTTGGCCTTGTACTCACAAAGATCTACCTGCTTCTGTCTTCCGGGTGCGAGGACTAAAGACAAATGCTACCACACCCAGGTTACATTGCTTTCCTTTCCTTTCCTTTTTTTTTAAAGAAGGGGTGTGTGGTGGGTGGGGAGTTCTAGACAGGGTTTCTCTGGGTTTTGCTGCCTATCCTGGAACTTGCTCTGTAGAAGAGGCTGGCTTCAAACTCTCAGAGATGCCCCTGCCACTGCCTCCTGAGTATGTGGGATTAAAGGCTTGTGCCACCACTGCCAGGCTAAATTGCTCTCTTTTAGAATCCAGGACCACTAGCTCAGGGGTGGCCTCATACACAATGGTCTGGGCCCTCCCCACATCAATCACAGTTAGGAAAATGCCCTACAGGCTTGCCCTACAGCCAGATGTTATGGAGGTATTTTCTCACAGGGCTCTGGCATCTCTGACTCTATCTTGTGTCAGTTGACTTAACAGGGGACAGGGCACAGGAGAGACTGCAGGACTTAATCAGACTGTCACATCCTCTACCCAGCCCTTCTCAAATGAAGCCAGAAGGTATGTCCTAGCCTAGCATGGTGCTACACACCTCTAATGCCAGCACTCCAGGCAAAGCCAGATGGATCTCTGAGTTCAAGACCAGCCTGGTCTACAGAGTCAGTTTCAGGACAGACAGGGCTATACAGGGAAACCCTGTCTCAAACACCAAGAAGAGGAGGAGGAGGCAAAAGGAAGGAAGGAAGGAAAGAAGGTATATCTTACCAGAGACATAGAAGGCTCATCTCTTTCTTGTGTAAATGGGAATACCTGTGGTGTTAGATGCAGAAACTATAGCCCTGAATCTCAGCTCTGGGGTGAGGTAACGACAGTAGATGTCGCTGTCATCGTTCCTTCCCTTGTGCAGCACCTACAGCTCTTTTTCCCAGGACCATGCTCCCTTAGCTCCTCAATGTGAGTCCCCCCAGCATCTTCAGGGAATTCCTATTAAGGATGTCCAAAGAGCTTCCAGGTTCTAACCAAGCTGTGGGTGTCTGTACAAACACTGGGAGGCAGATCTCATTTGTTTCCTTACACACTCACTTCCTCCTTCATTCACCTTCCATTTTCATCATTCATTCATGAGTTTGAGCTGCTAAATCTCCTTAAGGAATGACTTTTCACTCATTGGCAAACTGCTCATCCAGCCCCTAGCTAGCCAGGCTGAAGCTGGCTGCTTCTCACCAAATCTAAACCCAGAGTCCATCGTGAGTCCCAGGGCTGAGCACATGAGCTGCAAATGTTTTATCTATGTCCACAGATATCCAGGCCTTTCCAAGCAAACAAACGGTGTTCATTTATTCCTCAGAATCATGTACATATCATGAATGCTACCTGTCAGTCTTCCTAACAGGGCTAAAAATTATACCAGTTGTCATTGATCAAATGTTGTTTTGTTTTTTGTTTTTTCAAGACAGGGTTTCCCTGTGGCTTTGTAAGGCTGTCCTGCTCTTGTAGACCAGGCTGGTCTCCATCTCATAGAGATCCTGCCTGCCTCTGCCTCCTGAGAGCTAGGTCCACTCACCTAGTATTTTATATTCCAGTCCTAATTATTGAACCCAGGTCCTTGTACACTTTAGACAAACACACCACCACTAAGCTATATCCCCAGCCCTTCAGAAATTTCTACATCTGCCTGTAAATAAATTTCTGTTAACACAACTCTCAAATACACAAAAAGCAAGGCTTGTACATTGTAAAAATCTCAAGCAATACTAAAGCACACAAAATATAAAGTGTGGGCTGGAGAGATGGTTCAGCATTTGGAGCCCTGTCAGCTGTTGCAAAGAACCCAGGCAGGATCAGTTCTCAGCTCCCACCCTGTGACTCTGAGTGGAACCTGAGTTTCAGAGGATGGTACCCCCTCTGGCCTGCTAGGGTACTGCATGCACACTGTTACAGATACACTGCAGGCAAAACACTAATACAGATTAAAAATAAAAGCCTGGCGGTGGTGACATGTGCCTTTGTTCCCAGCGCTCAGGGAGGAAGGGACAGGTGGATCTCTGAGTTGGAGAAGGGGGCTTACAAGAGCTACTTCCAGTATGGCTTCCAAAAGCACAGAGAAACCCTGTGTGTGATGTAAACCTTTAATCCCAGCACTTGGGGGTCAGGGGCAGGCACGTCTGTGAGTTTGAGGCTAGCCTGGTCTACAGAAGGTGTTCCAGTACAGTCAGGAATACATAGAGAAACTGTTTAGAAGGGAGAAAAACCCATACCTAACCACCAGCACCCTGCTCCCAGGAGCTAATATCCTTTTAGAATCATTAGGGCAGGAACTGTGGCCCTGACTCAGGGACTAGGCAAATTCTCTACCACTGAGCTAAATCCCCAGCACCTCTTCCCCATTTTAAATTTTGAGAAAAGATCTCAACTAAGTCACTCAGGCTAACTTTAATCCTCCTGCCTCAGATTCTGGGTTAGTTGAGAGGATAGGACTGTACGAAGAGCACATGGTTCTAGATCTTATTGATATGTAGAAAAACACAGACACACAGACACAGACACAGACACAGACACAGACATACACACACGTTTTAAAATGTAATGGTGAAGTGTATTTTACAAACCAAAGCTGCTCTGAATGCCCCTTCCCTCCTAACAATAAAAGACAGACACTTTGTAGGTCGGCGCAGCAGATCCTTCTTCATGCTTAGGTGGTGTTCAGTGTGGGTTCTCATGTCTTTCAGAACAAGCTTCCATAGGGCAATGGATGGGAACCATAGCCAAACCCCATCCAGCCCAGTGCACCAGGAGATGCACACCCCCCTGAGATTTAGTGTACAGTCATCTCTGCACACTTATCTGTAGAATTGCACCTGATCTGATCCTGAATACCAGGCCAGACATAGAATCCTGGCTTTATAAATATCCGTGGCATGAATGGATAGTGCAAGATCACCTCTGAAAGGGTGACATCTTTTCCACTCCCTCCAACAGTACTGACTGAAATGGCAAAAGAAGTCCTTTCAGGGACTGGAGAGATGGCTCAGCTGTGAAGAGAACTGGCAGCTCTTCCGGAGGACAGGGGCTTAATTCCTGGCACCCATGTAGCAACTCACAACCACTTGTAACTTCAGTTCCAGATGGCCCAACATCCTCACAGATATAAATGGACACAAAACACCAATGAACATTAAAAATAAGAAAACAATTTATTGCAGGCACTGAACTTTGGGAAAAGCCACTCTCTTCAGGCCACTCCACTGTGGCTGCAGAGAAATTCAAAGCCTTATAATATGTTCAGTGACACGCAGGTGACCTCTTGCTGCAGGTCAAAACCCAGCTGTGGGACTTCTCTAGTGTCTGAAAAGGAAGGCTGACTTGAGTCCACTGCAGCAAACATAGCAAAGACAAGGATGAAATGGAGGTAGCTAGCACCCCTGACGAGCCCCAAAGCAAGGCACCAGGATCTACACTGTGTCTTCACTGTCTCATCTGAGGGCAAGTCTGAGTTGCACATGCTCCTAGGCAGGGGGTCTATGCACTCAGTCACCATTGCAGTTGGCAAGAGCTTAGCCTCTGAACTGGTTTCCATCACTACTTCCCAGCCAGAGGCAGAGACCAGTCAGTGAAACTTGAGTTTTGTTTAGTGCTTGGCTGTGGAGGTACAGTGGGATCTTGTCTGGAACTCAGCCTAGTATCCATGCAGTTCAATGTCCTGTTTCCTCCAGGTACAGAAGTGCTTCTGTAGGATGGCAGAGAGAGCTGTCCATTCAAGGTCTGCTTTCCACCAGAACAATCTCTGCTTCCCACTGCCAGCAATCTCAACAGTCTTTAGCTTGGGAGTTTGAACAAAGACCATAGATCGAGCTCAGCAGTTCAGGGGGAGAAAAACAATAAATAAAATCAAAGGATGAGAGACATCATGGTAGGATAGGTGGAGTCATTCATTCCCAAGTTTCGTCCAAGTCCTGGGCTTGATCCAAAAACTAAGCTGTGTTGTCAGTGTCTCTCATTGGACCAGCAGGGTCCTCAGGCCTGAGACTGTAGGGAGGAGGTGGTTCTACAGGCTTCATGACGACCTGCAGGGGAGAAAGAGTACTTAGCTTACTTCAGGCCTGCCTAAGGAATGATGAAGTTGGTTGGCAGCTCTCCCCAGTCTGTAACTTCTACAAGTTGGATAGCCAGCTATGAAACAAGTTAAGGATTGGGACAGAAAGACTCACCTGATCATAGGGTGGTGGGGGATCCAAGCTGGTGACCCAGATCTCTAGGGGAGCCGTGGTCGGTGCTTCTGGAGGTGTCTGATGATGGCTTCTGCGGTTCTGCTCTGGCTGTCTGCAAATTCGACAGAATTGCTTCATCATGCCGCAGACACACAACAGAGGTATCATGGCCAGGAAGACAATAAACAGGATCCTGGGGAAGGAATGATGTCTCCCTGAGTGACTATACCACTCTCCTCCATCACCCACCCCCATCCTATTTCAGGTGGACCCAGCCCTGAATGGTACCCAGAAGGCCTGACCCTGGCTTTAGTCGTTTGAAGAATCCCATATGGTTTCCTTCTGCAGGCAGCATCCACTCTCACAGCATCTGAATCCTTTTGGGCAGGTTCTGGTCAAGTCAGACAGAGATGGGGAGACACAGATGGCATCCAAAGTGTCAGAACAAAGGGTCCTTGCCTCCCCAGACACCTATAGCCTCAGGTTGCAAGTCATCCTTGGTGAGTGTGGGGTACAGATCCATCCTGGATTCACTGGGAGTAACTGAGGCCTGAACTTGAGACCTGAGTTCAGGGTTACTCAGGCAGAATGACCTACTAAATCTTACAGGGCTACTAAATGCTACTTACAGGGCAGGTGTGGGGCTCCAGGTCATAACAGTAAGGGATTAACAGCAGCTACAGAGCTGCCCCAATCATTCAGTTCCCAATGTTGGGTGGTGGGAGATGGGATCATCGTTTCAGCAAAAGTAGGAAGAGGAGGAGGTATCTGTCTCCTTATCCAAGGCATATCTGAGCATACCATCACTCACCACCACCACCACATACCCCCCATCAAACCCCAAACTTGATTGACTATAGCTAAGTTCAATACTTACAAGGTGTCACATTTAGCTGTAACCTGTGGAAGAAAAACAGGCAGAGGTCAGAGTTCAAAAACTGGGATTTGGGTATCAGGTCTCATTGTATTTGCCCAGCACACAGTAGGTGTTGGGGTCAATTTCCAGCAATATATGGCAATATATGGCAATATATCAGGAGTGAATAAACCAGAATAGCAGTACATCACTACAGTCCCAGAACCCAAGAAGACAGGAGAATCATTCTAGGCTACATAGCCAGTTTGAGGCCAGATTGGATGCCAGAGACAGACCCTGTCTCAAAAAGTAAAACCAGAGGCTGGTCTCAGACATCTTGGGCAGTGCATAAAAGACTGACTCTCCCTCCCTCCAGCTCCATGTCCACAGTCAATGATTGGAGCCTACCTCAGCCTCCCTTGTTTGGATTGAAGGCATGCACTACCATGTCTCACTCGCTCACTGCTTGCTATTGAGACAGGCAGGGTCTCACTAGGTAGCCTTGGCTTGCCAGGAATTCAGAGGTCTACCTATCTCTACCACCAGACTGCTGGATTAAAGGTGTGGAACATCATTCCCTGGCTCCAGGTGATTCCCCCTGCCACACCCACACAGTGGAAGATTGGCCTGGAAGCCACCTGGAGTGGATTCCTGCTTCCAACACCTCCAGAAAGCAATGTAAGGCCCTCCCCTTTGGCTCTTTATGTCCCAGGTAGAGGCATTGCTAGGAGTTTCCTAAACACTCTCCTGTCCCATTCATCTTCAGGTCCTTGCTGGGAATCCAGGGCCTCTATCAGAATTCCATCTTGTTTAAGCTCTTAATTAGGTCTCTCTTCTACATGTCTTCAAGGTATCTCTCTCTGGCCACCTTACTTAAAATGACAAGCATTGCCAGCTGTGGTGGTCCTTGCCTTTAATCCCAGCACATAAGAGGCAGAGGCAGGTGGATCTGTTAGTTTGAGGTCAGCTTGGCTTACCTACCAATTTGTAGAGGAGCCAGGACTAGACCCTGTCTCAACAGATGTGGAATGGGAAGCCAGCTTTTGTCTTTGCAACTGATCATTACAATAGCATTTTCTGAGCAAAGACAAGGGAACCAGTGACGGTCACAGGCTTACAGCAGCACTGTTCTTTAGTGAGGACAGGTGTAGGAAGAAATTAAAGACACAGCAAGGGGCCCAGGAACTCAGTCACATCCCCTGCTCTTCCAAATCTCAGACTCTACCCACTCCCCACTCTCCTGGTTTCTGTGTTACCCCAGGTCTTGGAATTTGCTCTGTAGAGCAGACTGGCCTCAAACTCAGATCTGCCTGTCTCTGTGTGCTTAGTGCTGGGATTAAAGACATGAGCCACCACAACCAGCCCGCTGCAGTATTACATTTAAGCCCTGGTAATAGTGGTCACACCGCCTCACTTTAGTTCCTGCCCAGTTTTAATGCCTGGGTTAGGTAGGAAAGACAGACCTCTGTTGAGTTCAAGACCATTCTTATCTATATAGGTATATCCTATGTAAAAATTTTTAATGGCAGTGTTAATAACCTGGACCAGGATTATTCCTGTTTCCCTGTTAATCAGGTGATCTGATCTGGGATGGTTAGGAGCCTGTGTTTTAGGAAGCATAGAGTGAGATATTAAGCTGGATTTATTAGCTCTTTCGGGGAGATTGACAATGCCTATACCTGGGGCTGCACAGAGGGGTCAACAGAGGGTGCTGGGGTCCAAGAATGTAAATGGTGCCTTGAACGTGGATTCATGCATGGCCTTAGACAGAGAACTTCAATTCTAGTGAACTTCAACAGCCAGTGAAATGTCCTGATGGGCAGGCTTAGGATTTCACCCCCACCGCACAACAGATTCTCAACCAATACTGTAAATTTAAAAGCTTGTTCTGACCAACTCTCTGTTTGCAGGAAAATCTGCCAACCCAAAGCACTTAAAAATAAGCACTTAAAAAATAAGTGACACACTGGAAGACAAATGTCACACACTTTCAATTTTATGTGTACCCTAGAAATGATGAACTCATGGGAACAGAGAACAGAATTGTGGCTATTAGGCTTCAATGTGGATCTTTTAACAATGGGAAAACAATTGGTTTAAGGATATAAAACTGCAGTTGGACAGGAGGCATGGACTCTGTGAAGTCTTGAGGTCTACTGAGAGCATGATAAATATGGTTGATAACAATATGCTATATTTTAAAAGTTGTGAGATAGTATACTTTAAGTGTTCTCAAAACAAAATGATGAATATGTGTGATATAACATGTTAATTGGTTTAATTTAGCCATTAATTGCCATTATGAACATACTGTATTCTGTATCATAATTGTGCATGACTTTATTTATGAGCTAAATAAATGAATGGAAATAAAAAGAATTTGGATGTGAGGAACAAGAGCTTGGGGCAGGGCTCACTACCTTGCCTCCCTGAACCATGCAAGTCAGAGGCCACCAAGCCCTGGGCCAGGCAGCCAGGTGTGCCTGGATGACAAACTGCAACTATTCGAAAAAGTCCAGAGAGCCTCCTCCTCCCTAGTACACATGAAGAAGTCCCAGAGGAGGTCACCAGCCACGCAGGAACATGGAAGGACAGAAGCCTAGCCCAGACACACAAGACCTCGGATTCCTCAGCCATATAGAGGAGAAGCTAAGTTAAAAAAACTACAAAAACTAGGATCAAAGTTCCCATTCAGGGCTGTAGGTGGAGCCAGATCCCACTAACAACAACAAATGGCCAAGACTAGGGGGCCAGGTTTCCACAGAGTCTCCCTCTGAGGTCCCTTCCTCCACTTTCCCCAAGCAAAACAGAAAGGAAGTTGCTAGTTGAGAGTGGTTACAAGGAATTCCTGAAAAGGTAAGATGGGGACTGTCTCCGAGGCAAACCTCTGCTCCCCAGGGTACTCCAAAAGGTTCAGAAGACTTGCTTACCAGGTTGGCGCTTACTGGTTGAAGACTGGAGAACAGGCAGGAGAGCAGGCAAAAGAGCGAGGTAAGCGCGTGGTCCGGGATCCTGGCATCAGGCGTCATGGCAAGGAGGCTACTAAGTTTCCGTGTACAAGGAAGGAGTGACGGGCACGACTTTTACAACTTCCCTCAACTATGGGGCCCACCCTCGGAATGGGGGCGGAGTTAACACACCTGAGTAGGGCCAGACTAAGGCTTCTAGCCTGGAGCTCAGGTAGAAAAGAATTGGAGAGGAGCTGAACTTGCTTGAGTCTGAGACATTGAGAGGTGGGATGCCTTGGTTTAAGTAGTAAGCAGGATGAAGCAGAGCACTGTGGGAATCCCTGGTCTGAGCAGCATTTAAATAGTTAGAGTAGGGTGTGGTGACCCCACCCTTTAATCCCAGAACTCAGAAAATCTCAGTGAATTCACAGCCAGTATGGTCTACATAATGAGATCCAGGCCAGCCAGCATTAAATAATAATAATGGTAGTAGTAATAGAAAATTGAATCAAAAAGTCACGTGGGCTCTTTCCGTTGTTTCCCTGGGCCAGACAGGACTTTTCCTGTCTTCCTCTTCTCTTCTGTCCTCTCTCTGTCTCTTTTCTCTTTGTTTCCCCCCTTTCTAATAAAACTTCTCACTTAAAAAAAAAAAAAAGTCACGTGGTGGTGACACACACCTTTAATCCCATCACTCAGGAGATAGATGCAGCAGGATCTCTGTGAGTTCAAGGCCATCTGGTTTAAACAGTGAATTCCAGGACAGCCAGGGCTACAGAGAAACCATGCTTCAAAAATCCATAGAAAAAAAGAAAAAGAAAAAGAACAAAGACTGGGAGGGTGGGGGGGGGGTGATGACTCAGGGGTTAAGAGCAACTGTCCATGGATCTGGGTTGGGTTTCCAACGTGATGGCTCTAATCAGGAGAGGACACCCACTTCTTAAATCTGAGGGCACCAGGTATGCACATGCTCAGGGTCTAGGCAAGTTCTCTACCACTGAGCTATAGGTTCACATACATATATGCAATAAAATACATGCAGAAAATAACTAATTTTTTTTTATTTTGAGACAGAGTTTCATGGTAGGATTGGACACTGTCCTGGAACTCTCTTTAAAACCCAGCTGGACTGGAGCTCACACAGGTCTGCCCACCTCTGCTTCCAGAGTGTGTGAGATAAAGGTGTGTGCCACTACCACCTGGCTAAATTGCTTTCTTTTAAAACCCAGGACCAGGAGCTCAGGGATGGGTAACGGACAGTTGCCTGGGCGCTCCCCACATTAATCACTAGTTAAGAAATGCTCGTGGCTGGAAGATGGCTCAGAGGTTAAGAGCACTGGTTCCTCTTCTAGAATTCCTGAGTTCAATTCTCAGAAACCACATGATGGCTCACACCCATCTATAATGAGATCTGGCGCCCTCTTCTGGCTGATAAGCAGACATGCAGGCAGAACACTATACATAATAAATAAATAATTAAAAAAATAGAAAAAAGAAAATGCCCTACAGGCTTGTCCACAGCCAGAAGTTATGGAGGTATTTTCTCATAGTGCTCTCCCCTCTCTGACTCTAGCTTGTGTCAAGTTGACTTAACAAGGGACAGGCTACGGGAAAGGCTGCAGGGCTTAATCAAACTGTCACATGCTTTACTCAGAACTTCTCTAAAAGGAATCAGAAGGTATATCCTAGCCTAGCTTGATGTGGCACACCTTTAATCCCAGCACTTGGGAGACAGAGGCAGGAACATCTGTGAGATTGAGGATAGCCTGGTCTACAGGAAGAGTTCCAGTACCCTCAGGGATTCACAGAGGAACTGTCTAGAAGGGGAAAAAAAAAAAAAAAAAAGCATTCCTAACCACCAGCACACTGCTCCCAGGAGCTCATATTCTTTTAGAATCATTAGGGCAGGAACTGTGGCCCTAACTCAGGGTCTAGGCAAGTTCTCTACCACTGAGCTAAATGCCCAGCGCCTCTTCCCCATTTTAAATTTTGAGATAAGATCTCAAATAAGTCACCCAGGGTGACTTTAATCCTCCTTCCTCAGATTCTGGATTAGTTGAGAGGATAGGACTGTACAACTGTACCTAGTTCTTCTAGATCTTATTGATATGTAGAAACAAACACACACACACACACACACACACACACACAACACAACACAAACACATTTAAAATATAATGATGAAGTTTATTTTACATACCAAAGCTGCCCTGAATGCCCCTTTCCTCCCAACACTAAAAGCCAGATACTATGTAGGTCAGCGCAGCAGATCCTTCTTCATGCTTAGGTAATGGGTGGTGTTCAGTGTGGGTTCTCATGTCTTTCAGAACAAGCTTCCATAGGGCAATGGATGGGAACCATAGCTGAACCCCATCCAGCCCAATGCACCAGGAGATGCACACCCCCCTGAGATTTAGTGTACAGTCATCTCTGCAC